GCTATCTTTATAATAATATCAAATAAAATATATAAATACTTTAATTATACTACATAAATAAATCAAATCAATATAATTTTATTATACTTTAATAAATATATAAAATAAATTAAAAAAAGTCGATAAATAAATCAATTCGCAACCATCACACTAAATTTTAAAATTTTTACTCACTACCAAAGTGACTCATTTTCTTTTATAACTCTACGATTCTAAGTGGGACCCACCACCAGTTATTTAGCACACGTGGCATGTCTGACTCCTGTAAGCAACTAAATGCTGCTCATAATTATCAATCATTATCCTTTTACCTAACTACTATTCTTTAATCCTATTAATTTAATCATCCTGCGAATACTGTAAGGAGAAAGAAAATACTGCCCACAGTTAATACTGTTTAAAATTCTTTAATTTGAGCCACATGGTACGTGGCAGGTGACTGAAATATATGAGCCCTGAATTTTATTATTTTATCTTACCTTTCTAATAGCTAGTGTTCGTCTTATTATTTATCACTGAAAAAAAAACAGTCATCACGTATCATGTTTTCTTCAGTAATACTCTCAATAAATAAATTCATTAATAAATTTATAGCTTAGTTATAACTAATAGTTTAATCATTTATATAATAAAAATGATATAATTCCTTATACAATCAAACATGAAATAAGAGGTAGTAGTAGTACAATAAACCTTGATAAAAATTAGGGTTGGTTGGAGTTGCATAAATGTATCTTAGCAAAAAGCCTTGAAGACAATTGGTTCTTTAAATTTTTTGAAAAACAAGGTAGGTTACTTACTTAGGACCAACCCTGCACTAAACACAAGATTACCATACGATGCTAGCCACGTGGACAGTAGCATAATGAGGGTACCAGAATCAGTATGATTCTGTTCTAAAATTATCACAATTTATGTATCCTTTATTAGGTGGACAATTGTTCAATTGCCCATTCATTATTGTGTAAAATTAAACTTAAATCATCTTATACCTACACTTGGAAGTTTATAGGTTGAGAGTGAGTGCATGTGCATGACCATAAATTAACATTATAATGAGTTACAATGAGAAGATGGTAGCCAGTGCAATACCCTTTGATGGTTTTTCTTGAATTAAAAGTAGATTATTATTAAATTGACCATGAAAGGCTTTCAACTCATACTAATTTTGGAGATCCAACAACTGGATCACTCTTGGCTTTCAGTGGAAACTTGCTCCCATGCACTCGAAACTTCCTTCGAAAACAAAGGTAGATCGATTGAGTCGTCGAGAAGAAACCAGAAAAGATAAGCTACAGTGCACCACACTCATGCTCATTGTCACTACACTTTACAATTATTGTTCCTTTCCCCTTTGCTTCTTTAAACCTTTATCTTTCCACCTTTGCCTTTTCTTCCACCAAGTGCTTCGATAACTGTATAGTCAGAACCACGATCATGAAAACGTGTTTTTCATATATACGTTGTCGCACATGTATCTACTTACACCTCATATTGACTTCTCGTTTCACAAGTCAGGGAACAAATAAGTAGTTCTTTTTGTATGTAACAAGTTAATTTGTTTAAGGAGGTGAAAATCAATAAAAACAAACAAGGGAATATCCACTCGTCCTTACTATACTTCAATATATAAGAATCCTTTTTACAAAATTATCGTAATTTGATTTAAATTTTGTTGTTCATATTGTTAATAAGTTAGGCTTTAATCATAATTATGATATCATAAGAAGTGGGTTTTAAGCCTAACTCAACCCCACAAAACCGATTTGTAAGGTAAGGTTTGCACCCATTTATATACTATGAATTAGTCTTATCTATAGCCGTGGAACTTCTAACCAATTTTAAAAATAATTAGTTTTGGTGTTTAATTTTATTTAATAAAGAATCAAACAAATGTGTACTAATACGATGATGAAGAATAATAGAAATAGACTTTGAGAAAAAAATATCAATGTAAATTTGAAAATAAAAATAAAAATGTTATATATCCTTCTGTTGAAAAGTGTGCTTTAGTTTGTGTAATTTTTCATGTTTGTAGCCCTAGCTTGATAAAATATTATCTTGGCTTAGCTAAACTAAAAGAAAGCGTACTTGAAATTCTGATTTACATGATCACTGCAAAAAGCCGCATGGAATGTAGAAAGTTGAAAATGTCCCATCATTCCTTGAATATAGAAAGTTGAAAGAAGAATGAATATGGTAGTTATTTTCCTATTCTGAGTTTACAAATATATCGCGAAGAAAGTGACAATAAATGTATCTTATGTGACATGATTGAAGGTCACCTAATTAAGAAATGCAATCATAGACTATGAGAAGGTGACCTATTTCGACATTAAAGACCATATGGTCCCGCCTTTCCTTTGTCTTTTAACCAAACTCACTCAGTTAATGTTGTTCAAAATAATTACTTTGCGTATGTTGCACCAAAAACTTATTAGTTAAGCTATCTGCATATTACAGTAGTTTTTTTTAATATATACTATGATATTATGAGCACAGATAAGTAGTTAACTAAGTCCAAAAATTTAGTGGAAAGTAGGTTCACTTTAAGCACTAAGATATACTTACTAATTAAAACTCATCTCGGCTACAAAGCTTGACAGAAATCTTAGTAGAAGATTTATCAGGTCTTTCTTTTATTCAAAGCTTTCCCTTCTCAAGATTTTTTTCAATTAAAAGATTGTAGTTATAAAATAGTTTTGGATATTAATATATCAGCACTGTTGTTGTAATGCTCTATTATTACATTGAGGTCAAAGGTCTATAATGAAACAATTGTTAGATGATTTTGTTGCCTATTTCTTTAGAGAAATAAATGAAGAAACATGATTTTGCCACTATCGCGGTTTGTCAATTACTTTCACAAGCAATAGTGAAGTCAGAAGTTATTTGTCCGTGTTTCACCTTTTCTTTTCTTTTCCATCTTTTCTCTTATTTTGTACATTGTGGACACTGTTTATATATTGTCAGTTATGGAAACAAAATGAATCAACACCATTAGGCTTACGAAGATACGCTGGTAATATTTCCTATGACAACATTTATTTTCATCATGCTAAACCTAGTATAAAAATTGCAAAGAATTAAACAGATTTGGTTAAGATATGTCAAATATTCTATTAATGGATATTAGGTAATCAAATATTGTGTTAATTATAATTTATATATTATTATAATTTGTGCAGATTTATATATTTGTGATTCCTTTAATAAATGAAGGATTATATGATTCTTGTATTTATATATTTGGTACCCTACTCTTTGAAATAACACATCAGAATTGTTTCACCCGCTATTAGACCATCCATTAATGTTTAATCTCATGCTCGATACCTCAGTGTGAGGGGATGTGTTGGAAGTCTACATCTACTAGAGATAAAATCAATTTAAAGTATATAAGTGGGTGCAAACTTCACTTTGCAAACCGATTTTATGGGTTAAGTTACGTTTAAAATCCATTTCTTAATAGATTTATTCTAATAATACTAGTGTTATGTAAGTTAAATTAACCAAGTCGATAATCTAGTTGTCTCGTGGGCTTTTATCTTTATTTTTTTATTAGTTATACATACTATTTTGAAATTGTGCTCTTTTAAACCGTGAATAATTTTTTAGTTGTAAGTGTACAATGAATTTGAGCTTTTCAAACCATCAAATAAAGATTTGTACATTTTTTAGTACTTATTATATTTTTCTTTTTGTTTTTTTTCTTAAATATGTGCCAACATTGTTGATATGATGCTTTGTCAATATTTCAAACATTAAAGTAAGAAAGATAGACCAAGAAGAGTTTTTGGTGTTTAGTTGCAAATTATGAGGCAAGAAACAAACACGCGAGAGATATTTCGGTAATTTATTTATTTATTAATTACCTAAATAATAATTTAAAAAAAATTAAAGCTTTATATTAATTTTATAATTAATAATAATAGTAGTAGTAACACCAACAATAATTTTTTCCGTCTGAACTGAATTTATATATCCAAGAAATCAAATCATTAAAAAAGCGGAACCATAACCCCTGATCCATAAGTTGGTCTCACCTACTACTACTACAAAAAGAAAAAAGTTAGGATTTTGTTTGAATAATATTTTTTAAAGTTCTCTTAAGAAGAGGAAAGTAAAAGGAAAGTATTAAAATTAATTTATTTATAAGTTAGAAATTATAAAAATGAAATTATTTTTATAATTAAAAGTAAAGATAAGTTAGTTTTAGTTTGTGAGAAAAAAAAAGTTTTTTATTTTACTCTAAAAAAGTTCAAAGAAAATAATCTAATATGTATATTAATTCCCAGATGCGTCCGCTCACACCGTGGTTGAGTGGTGGCCCCACCCTTTAGTTCGTTAAACCAATCATAGGATTCCTCAAAAGTCTCCAGAAAAATCCCATGTAAAATTATTATTTCATTTAATTTTTCAGAACACTATTTTATAATACGTTTATCCTTTCATTATATATTTTTTACTACTAATTCAATTAATTAAAATTATTATTTACGTCCAGACAAAAACTATCTATATACTATTTTAAATAGTTATTATAAAAATTTATAAAAAAAATTATAGTTTGGTGTCGGTGTAAAAAAGTATATATTGCTAAAACATATATTAAATGCTCGTTTAAGTTTTAGTCATATATATTTCGAACACTTTTTTAAAGAATTGTGAGTATTTAAGAATATTTTAACTCCAATTTAACACGTCCTTTAAAAAACTAAACCGACATATTTGTTAATGGAGGTCAACAACATTTTTCTCAACATACTGACATCATTTTAAAGTTAACCACACATAACTTTTATAAACGTGTAATAGGTGGTATTAAAAACAAACCATACAGTTACACTGATTTATTAATTACTACTATTATTATATGAGATGGTATGTAATAAAATAGATTTGTTTTACCCAATAAGATTTCTTGGTAAATACTGTATAAAAATGGATCCAAAGACTCTCCTGACACAAACACACGACTATTTTTATTATATATCCCATCCCGCGTTGTTTTTCTCTGTTGGTGTCTCAGATACTCGTTGAATTCCATTTCCAATCCCTGTCTAGATTCTCTGTCCCCTCTTTCTCACAGTCAATTTTTTCCCTTGTTTTTTAGTTGTTACACTATCTGCTGTCTGTCACGGAGCTACCACCCCTCTTACGGCTTTCCCTTCTTTTTTTTTACAGCCAGACCCCATCTGTTGCGAAGCTCAGTTTCTCAAGAAAAGAATCATTGAGGCTTCCTTCATTCATTAAACCCACCAAAGGCACTTGCTTTCTTAATTAGCCTGCTGCATTTAATCACTCTCCATTCTCCAACACTCCCATGCCTTTAAATTTCTATGTTTTCCTCCTTCTCTGTCATTGACTCGGTACTGTGTGTGAGGATGGGTGTTTCTTGTGAATGTGATGGTACCTGAGGGTGTGAGGTGTTTCTGTGTTTCAATGTGAATTTGTGTTATTTGAAGATTCAGGTGGTTGTGGTGGTGGTGAGTGCTGCTTTCGATGGATACTAAGGGGAGACTTGTTGCGGGCTCACATAACCGGAATGAGTTTGTTCTCATCAATGCTGATGAAACTGCAAGGGTGAGGGAGTGTCTGTGGCTTCTTCTTCTTTGCAGCTTCATAGCCTTCAAAATCCGATACTTTCTCTGCTTGTGTTTTTGCTCTATAACTCATGTCTCAAAGCCGCTTGAAGAATTTGAAAAAATAAAATAAAAATGAAAACTCCTAGTACTTCTTTCTCGTAGATTTCCACGGCGAAGCTTTTCATTTTAGTCTCGAGACATTTTGTATTTTAATGAGTTATCGGTTGTTTAGGTGGAAGTAAGTTTCCTATGTTTTCTACTATTCCCGTTGAGAGTTTCAAGCTGCCACTAGTGTATTGACATTCTGAGAATCTTCCATTTGCTTTTTAGTTTTCCTCCGGCTTCATGGTGAAAGAAATAGGAAAAACTGTTTCAACCAATTCAGTACCTGGGGGTCCTTTTTCTTTCTTTATTTCACTCTTTATATGGTCTTCTACTTTTTCACAATTACAGAGCTGATAATTAACTGCCTGAAGCCTTTCCAATTTGGTGCTACATATCTTCTGCAATGAAAATCCGTGCACCTTCCATCTTCTGTTAATACCCAGTTGTTTAATGTTCGGGATCTAGCTTGAGGTTGACATTGCACATAATTTGCAGGTGAACGCTGTCACAGAATTGAGTGGGCAAATTTGCCAGATCTGTGGGGATGAGATAGAGATTACTGTGGATGGTGAACCGTTTGTTGCATGCAATGAATGTGCATTCCCGGTGTGTAGACCTTGCTATGAGTATGAAAGAAGAGAGGGGAACCAAGCTTGCCCTCAGTGCAAAACCAGATACAAGCGCCTAAAGGGTGAGTCTTCAACCAATTTTTACTTTCATCTCTCTGTTATATATAACCTGGGGGACATAGATTTCAGTAACAATGGAACAAATATCAGGTAGTCCCAGAGTTGAGGGTGATGAGGAAGAAGAGGACATTGATGATTTGGAAAATGAGTTTGACATTGGAAGCAATATCAGGCAGGGTCACGTTGAGGCCATACTCTCTTCTCACCACAACACTGGCCATGGTTCACAAATGAATGCTCCAGGCATCACCACACCATCAGAGTTTGATGCATCTTCTGTGGCTGCTGATATTCCTCTACTCACATATGATCACGAGGTTAATTGATTTTTCAAATCTCTTCGTAGTTCATTTGTTATAGTTATGAGTTATGACATTTCTGGGTCCTCGTTGTCTAATTATGATTTATTTTTCAATTAAGGATATTGGGATTTCTGCTGATAAACATGCTCTAATTGTTCCCCCATTTATGTCTCGTGGGAAACGCGTCCATCCTATGCCTTTTCCTGACTCAACTGTACCAGGTATGTTGTTTTTATTAGCTTTGGCTTGCTTGTGTACAATGTTTACTATAATCTGTTTTCTGTTCAACCTAGTTTTCTATATCCATTTTTTGTGTTTTTTTACACTTAAGGCTGGTGGTGATGCAGTTCAACCCAGGCCTATGGATCCTAAAAAAGATTTAGCGGTTTATGGATATGGAAGTGTCGCATGGAAGGAACGAATGGAGGACTGGAAGAAAAGGCAGAATGAAAAAACTGAGGTAGTTAAGCATGAACGGGGTCACGATGGTGGGAAAAATGGTGACGAGCTTGATGACCCTGATTTGCCAAAGTAGGTCTGCTGTTATTTAATTCTTATCATTGCTAAGCTATAGGATAAAATGATTCTTTTTTCTGTTTTCATTTCGTGAGCTTATATATTTAAGATTACTTAATAATGCAACTAAATATGCATTAATTGCTATCACATCCTTCCCTTGTGTTTTAAGAGTTATTTATTTGAAACTGTAACAGAATGGATGAAGGGAGGCAGCCACTGTGGAGGAAGTTGCCAATTAGTCCAAGCAAGATCAGTCCATATCGAATTATAGTAGTACTCCGGATTGTTGTTCTTGGCCTATTTTTTCATTATAGAATTCTCCACCCGGTCAATGACGCATATGCATTGTGGCTGACATCAGTAGTTTGTGAAATCTGGTTTGCCGTGTCATGGATTTTGGATCAATTTCCCAAATGGTGCCCAATTGAGCGAGAAACATACCTGGATCGTTTGTCATTGAGGTATACTTCTTTCTGCGTGCTTGGAAATGTTATGCTTTACTAGTCCATAGCTAATTCTCTGAAAATTTACCAGGTACGAGAAAGAAGGAAAGCCATCTGAATTAGCTGATATGGACGTTTTTGTTAGTACAGTTGACCCTATGAAAGAACCTCCCCTTATAACTGCAAATACAGTTCTATCCATCCTTGCTGTGGATTATCCAGTGGAGAAAGTTGCATGTTATGTCTCAGATGACGGTGCAGCTATGCTTACATTCGAAGCCCTGTCAGAGACTTCTGAATTCGCAAGAAAGTGGGTTCCATTTTGTAAGAAGTTCAGCATTGAGCCTCGGGCACCTGAATGGTATTTTGCTCAGAAGGTTGACTATTTGAAAGACAAAGTGGACGCAATATTCATCAGGGAGCGTCGTGCTATCAAGGTTTGAACTTTGAACCACTTCTCATTATGGTTTTGTTTTACATTGTGGCGCCTTTCTCAAAGCCAATGATATATTGTATTTGGTGTTTTCAATGCTGGTGGCAGAGGGAGTATGAAGAGTTCAAAGTGCGTATCAATGCATTGGTTGCAATGGCACAGAAGGTTCCTGAGGATGGCTGGACAATGCAGGATGGGACTCCGTGGCCTGGAAACAGTGTCAGGGATCATCCTGGAATGATTCAAGTGGGTATTATTCTGGTCTGAATTCTACGTTGGTGAAAATATTTTGCCAGATTTTATAAGTTTAAATTCAACTGTGATGCGTTTGCACAGGTTTTCCTTGGTCAAAATGGTCTTCGTGATATTGAAGGGAACGAGTTACCTCGTCTTGTCTATGTGTCTCGAGAGAAAAGACCAGGATTTGAACACCATAAAAAAGCTGGTGCTATGAATGCCTTGGTATAGTCTCTTCTCTTTTTCGAGATAAACTTTTAGCATTCTTGCGCCTTTCATTTTTCCTGATCACTTTTTTTATGTGTCGGTTTGGTTAATTAATTGTCAAGGTGCGAGTCTCAGCAGTCATTTCAAATGCTCCATACCTACTCAATGTCGATTGTGATCACTACATAAATAACAGCAAAGCACTTCGTGAAGCCATGTGCTTCATGATGGATCCTACATCAGGAAAAAAAATATGCTATGTACAATTTCCTCAAAGATTTGATGGGATTGATCGTCATGATAGATACTCAAATCGCAATGTTGTTTTCTTTGATGTAAGTAACAAATTGTTGCGGATTTATATTACGTTTACTTTACTGTGCTTTGAAGGAAAGACTAATCTATGTTTGACTCTATATTTATATAGATAAACATGAAAGGTTTAGATGGCATCCAAGGACCAATATATGTAGGAACTGGGTGTGTTTTTAGAAGGCAAGCACTCTATGGATATGATGCCCCTGCTAAGAAGAAACCACCAAGGAAGACTTGTAACTGTTGGCCCAAATGGTGCTGTCTGTGTTGTGGATCTAGGAACAAAAATAGGAAAGTGAAGTCAAGTCCAAGAAAGAAAATAAAAAACAAGGATGCTACAAAGCAAATACATGCACTAGAAAATATTGAAGAGGGGATTGAAGGTACAAGGTTTCTCAAATTGGCATTGCCTGTCATTTGAAAGTTTTAAAAAATATTCTGCAATACTAACTAGTCCTCTTGAAATCCCAATCACAGGAATTGACAGCGAGAAGTCGTGGTTAATGTCTCAACTAAAATTTGAGAAAAAATTTGGGCAATCACCTGTTTTCATAGCTTCAACGCTTATGGAAGATGGGGGTATTCCAAAAGGAGCAACATCGGCATCACTCTTGAAAGAAGCCATTCATGTCATCAGTTGCGGTTATGAAGATAAGACAGAGTGGGGGGAAGAGGTATGAGACATTTCTTGGCTCTCTCAGCTGGAGTTTATGTTATCACATGTGTTTGTGTAACAATACTAAATTACACTTGTATTTCAGGTTGGATGGATATATGGTTCTGTTACAGAAGATATATTAACAGGTTTCAAGATGCACTGTCACGGTTGGCGATCTGTGTATTGCATGCCTAAAAGGCCTGCTTTTAAGGGCTCAGCTCCCATAAATCTTTCAGATCGTCTGCATCAAGTTCTCCGTTGGGCACTTGGATCTGTTGAGATCCTATTGAGTAAGCATTGCCCTATATGGTATGGTTATGGCTGTGGCTTGAAATGGCTGGAGCGCTTTTCTTACATAAACTCAGTAGTTTATCCTTTAACATCACTTCCCTTAATTGCATACTGCACCCTGCCGGCTGTCTGTCTACTCACTGGAAAGTTCATAGTCCCAGAGGTAAGGATAAAATCGACTCTGGACTTGATATCATAAAGTGAATGTTGATTAACCCTTTTATGTTTGAATTTATGCAAAGAGATGAAATGAAGTGGAGTGGAATGAAATGAAATTATATTAGTCAGCATTGCTTATGCTGCTTATAATAGGATGGAATGAAAGAAAACGATTTCCTGCTATTTGATCAATTGTTAGATATGCAGACATAGTCTTTCGATTAAGAGGAATTTTATATTCGAGCAATGCATACGTATAGATAGGATGCTTGTGACGCACGGTATCGTGCTTTTAGCTGATGCTTCATTATCTTGTTGCCAGATTAGCAACTACGCCAGTATCATTTTCATGGCGCTTTTCATGTCCATAGCTGCAACAGGCATCCTTGAAATGCAGTGGGGAGGTGTTGGTATACATGACTGGTGGAGGAATGAGCAATTCTGGGTGATCGGTGGTGCCTCCTCACACCTCTTCGCTCTCTTTCAGGGTTTGCTCAAGGTTCTGGCAGGAGTTAACACAAACTTCACAGTCACATCCAAAGCTGCAGATGATGGAGACTTTGCTGAACTCTACCTCTTCAAGTGGACATCATTGTTGATCCCTCCTTTGACCTTGCTCATCATTAACATAGTTGGAGTTATTGTAGGTGTTTCGGATGCAATAAACAATGGTTATGATTCGTGGGGTCCTCTGTTTGGCAAACTATTTTTTGCTCTTTGGGTCATTGTCCATCTTTACCCCTTCCTCAAGGGAGTTATGGGAAAACAGGAAGGTGTTCCCACCATCATTTTGGTCTGGTCTATTCTTCTGGCTTCAATCTTCTCACTTCTATGGGTGAGGATCAACCCATTTTTGTCAAAAGATGACATTGTGTTGGAACTTTGTGGGTTGAATTGTGACTAGGAAATGCAGGTCTTACATGGTTAGATATACTTTTATGCAGAAAATGACTGCAATATGCACAAAGTTTTTTGTCAAAGTCGACATTGCATGCAGTAGAGTCTATTGGTGATAGCCATTGCTACCCAAAAGGGCAATTTTAGAGGGGTGTGTGTGTAGATACAGATGGCTATGATCTGACACAAAATATTTGTTTTTAGAGCATTATTCTTTGTTGTACGTGTGCATTCTGTGCGTTTTAGAAGATTGAATTGCCGATCACTGAGGTGGTTGTAATTTACAATTTCCTTCTGAATAAAGTATCTCATTTTTGTAATTTCATAAACAAATTATTCCATATTAGTAAGAAAAACCAATTTATTTTATTTTATTTTTATGGTTATTTTTCATTGTGCATCTTTGAATATTTGATAAAATGGTATTCAATAAACAATGTAACACACAAAGATTAATAGCTAAGAAATCCTCAACCATACTTTCTGGAATCTGTTACTGTCCAATAATCAAATAATTGATTTATTGAATTCTAGAGTGCCAATATTAATGTTAAAGAATGATTGATTCCTAGAAAATAAAGTGAATGGCGTGCAAGATGCTTTAATAGTGTGCCATAACCAAAATTGTGTGGAAACAAACTTCTTGGCAATCATCATCATCATCTGAGCTTTCTGTATGAACTGTCAAACTAAATGGTTGAACTTTATTTATTTCCTTTCTGGAAAGAATTTGCAGTGGTGCTTATCTTGTGAGAAAAGGGAATTCTATAGCAAAATAGCTTTCTTGCGAAAGCAGGGTGTGATTTTATTATACGGTCACCGTTATCATGCATACATTAAGTTCCTTCTAATTTAGTTTTAAAATGTTTTAAATTTTTAAAAAAGATTTTTAAATTAAAACCATATAATTTTGTTAGACTGTCGTAAAATAATTACTTTTCCTGTCATCCTAGTCAACAAATGACATCTAGATTGAACCGAGCTTGAGACAGAACATTCCTTTATTTCGGGTCTTAAAGAAAAGTTATTTAATATTAATATTTAAAGGATACACAACTTGTACTTTTGCTAATGATACTGTATTAATAAAATTATCTATTGTCTTTCATAACATGTTAGAATTTATATGATTTTCATTTTTATTATTAGCTTGGTACGGTGTAAAGGTCATTGAAGTTTATTTTATTTTATTGTTATATTTTATTTTATTTTCATACACATAATGGAAGCAAACCGACATGAGCTTAAAGAACCCAACTTAAATAGAAATCATCGATGACTCGAACCTTAATGCGAAATTTGTTAAACCATTTCTGGCAATTCATTTCAAGACATTAATTAAGATCGTTGTTTAGGAAAATTGGGAAAAGGATAGGTATTAATAGAAAAATATTTAAATATTAACAGGTGGAGTTAATTTTAGATTACTTAATTAAGTTAATCACGCACAATAATAATTTTAATAAAGAATAATTATTTATGCCAGTGTCATATTTACCAAAATAAATAGTTATTCTGGACAATGTAGATATTCTTAATTGCCAATGTCACATTTACCAAAAATAAAATTTAGTAAACTAATAAACAAATGAAAAAGAAAAAACGGTAGACCCCCCAAAATACTGAATAACATAAAAATTAATACATTTCATATGTACGATGTGACAAAAAAAATAAATAAATATTGATTAGATGTTTAAAAGCAATACAGATTATATGCCATTAAATTAATATATATGTATATATATAATATTTTTTATTTGAGCAATTTAATTTAATTTTCACATAAACATGCATGCATGAGAAAAAAAAATTAAAACTTATAACAAAATACTTTTCTTTTGGTTCATTCTTACATAACTATTTTACTTGTCACAATATATACCCTGGATAAACGCATTACTGTAATCATATAAATAAAAATGCATTATTTGATAAGCTAATGATATGTTCAATTAAAAAGATATTCTATTAATTCAAGATAAGTTTAAGTCATCAAAATTTAGAACTAGTGACGTTTTAAATGTGTATTTGATTCTTTTTAACTTTTTACTATTTAAGATTTTATTAGATGTGATTTATTATTTAATGCATAATTTCAAATTACATATAGTATTCTTCAATATATTTTTTATGGAATATAATTTATCTAAACAACGAGACGAGATGGTGGTAATTTCTTATATATATATATATATATATATATATATATATATATATGAATGATAATATGACATATTTACGTTAAATTAATTATTTTCATGAATATAATTTATTTAGTCAATTAAATTTTATAATTGTTACACTGTAATTGCATATAATTTGCAACAATTTATAAATTCAATTAAATTCTAAAGATGGTTTACAAATTTAAGAAATTAAGCATTCAATCAATACTGGTGGTCTCATTGCCCAAGGTGAAAGAAACGGATAAAATTAAAAGCACCTCGATATTTCCTTAATCACTTAAAAAAAAATTTAACCAACAATTATCGTACTAACATCTTAACTCAAAAAGTTTATTTTTTCTTTTACAACTCTATCATACGTGTCTAGCTATAAATAGAAGGAGAATTGAGAAAACTTATCTAATATAATGCTATTCAAAATTTACCTTGCTTTTTAATGTGTCACAAAATGGAGAAAAGGGTTTTAAGAAAACCAGGACAGAAGGAAATAAATTAGGATTGAATTGTAAACAGAGGAAGAAGGGAGAAATTTCTATTTTTTTTATGAATAAGAGAGGGTGATTTAGATCAAAGATCTCTCAACATAAATTATTACTAACTTATATTTGGATCGGGTGATAAATTTAGAAAAATTAAAATAAGTGAATTTGAGGAAAAGGTGAGACAAAAATGAAGTATTTTGAATTAAAGAAAACACATTGAGAAATGGAATAAAAGTTTGTAAAAATTGATGAATGAGGTGATTGATTTAATAGAATATATATATTGTTATTTAATTAAATTATAAGATTATAATTTAATCTTAGAATTTAAAAATTAATTTAAAATAAAATGTAACTACTGTATTATTATTATTATTATTATTATTAATAATTTTTATATTGTTAACATTTCTATTATTATTATATAATTATAAAACCCATTATTTGAAATTTATCTATCTCTCCATATATAAAACGATTGAGAATAGTTAGAATAGTATTTTGCAATGATTTTCATTGAATAATAGATTCTTTTATAGTTAGGGACTTTTGTGTAAACCCAGACGAGTTGAGTTGTTTTTCTCATATATTCTCTATTCATTCATTTTCTCAAATCCACTTATATGATAAAGTCATTCATTTTTTCATCCGCGATCAATATATTAGTAGATAAAAAAACCAATAATGTTATGCTTAAATATGAAATCAACTAATATTGTATAAGAATATCTTACATTAAATAAATTTTAAACATATATTAAATCCATTTATTACTGGTAGATTATCTTACGTACTTATTTAATGATAAAGTAAGCGCTTAGATAATTATATAAATTATATATAATTTTATTTGATGAGTATGTTTAATATTATATTTTATTAAGAACACTATATATTTTTTTAAATAATTATATTTTACTTAGAGCTTATAATTTATTTTCTATACATTAATTTTTATATTACAATGTCAAATAATAATAAAATACTTTTGATAATATCATACACAAATTTTATCTATAAAGAAAAAAAACATACCTTTTACTGTTTTATAAGTATTAATAAAATATATTTAAATTACATATAATATAAAAAATAAGGCAATTCCACCCCAAACAAAATACATTTAAAACAAAAAATATAAAACTTAAACATGTATTAAGTTTCTCGTATATTATCCTGGCTTAATTTAGCTTTTATTTTAAATATAAATTTTTTAGTTATTATTATTATTTATTTATTATAGTACTAAAAGTGAATTTCTAATTAAAACAATTACATTTTTTATGTATACTTCGAGTAATATATTTAATATTTATATAATTAATATACTCGAATGTACCTTTTTTATTTTTAATATATCATGAAAAAAAATTATATTATTTTTGAATAATGATTAGTTTTTATTTGAAAAATATTATTAAAAGGAAATTACTGTGTATCATTTTATTTTATAATTACATATTGATCATTTTGCATGTAGAATAAACAGCAATACCAAAATATACAAATATATTATGAATTAAATTACATTATATTATATTTAACAAATAAAAGAATAATAATAATAATAGTAAACTTTTAATATCACATAATATATTATAATTAGTTATTCTTAAAAGTATAACACACAATTTATTATTTTTGTCTTTAAATAAAAAAAATTCTTATTCATTATATTTTAGAAAATAAATTTTTAAAATCATAAAACATAAAATACAAAAATTAACATGTAGAAAGTTAATTTTAAGTATCTAAGTAGATTATAATTATTCTTAATAAAAATATAATGTTAAGACTACGTGATGGGTTAAACATGTAAATACAAAATATATGTAACTATCTTATTTATATTAATAAAAATATATTACTTATTTTTAATATGATCTTAAAATAGTTAGTTATTTTATGTAAGATATTTTTCCCTACATTATATATATATATAACTAATAATAAATAATTTTTATAATTATTAAAATACATAAATTTAGACACTAAAAAAATATTTAACTTTTTTGAAAATGCCACCACTACCATTGGACTGGATGGGTATACTAAAGCGGGAAATTAAAATTGAAGCCCATTCAAATGGCCCAAACCCTAGCCCATAAATTATAAATGAATAAGGCGTAGTCCTATAAATGGCACAAAGGAAGTAGGGTTTTAGTTCAGTGCCTCTCTACTCGGGTCTTTGTTCGCCGTAGCAGCAGGAGCAGTCTCAGGTTCTCCTCTTTCCGATCTCTCTGCTCATTTGTGTTTTCTCGTTTTCCTATTCAATTATTTGCATTCCTTGATTTCTTTCGCTGCAATTCGTAGCAAAATTTATGTTCATTTCAATTCTTTGTGGTGTTTGTACTTTTCCGAATCCGGAAGCAGTTGCAAGGACAATTTGTTTCCTTGGCTTCTGTGTTCAAGTTATCTCCTATTTTATGCTCACTTTTTCGTCTGAATGAATTATTCACGTTTTTTTATTTGCATTTTCTCTCTATAGGATGTCTCACAGGAAGTTCGAACACCCAAGGCACGGGTCTCTGGGATTTCTCCCCAGGAAGCGTGCTGCTCGTCACAGGGGAAAAGGTTTATTTTTCTTCTGTTTTTATCACTCCTTATCCTCTAAGTGTGTGCTTTTACTTTTATTTAATTATCGATTTCACTATAGTTACACATGTAATTTTGAATGCTGAATATTGTTCTTGCTTAAGAGATCCAATGATGATTTACCTCCACATCAATTTTGAATGTTGTTTTAAACTCCTAATGCTGTTTTGTTTTACTCTATCAGGTTTTTAAGCTATTGAATAGTAAAACATTTTTTATTTTTATGTTTTTTAATGAGGAGCCTGTTTTTATTTATTGGTTTTATAACACCATGATTTTGATATCCTGTAATTGTCATTAACTTTGCAGTGAAGGCATTCCCTAAGGATGATCCATCCAAGTCACCCAAGTTGACTGCATTCTTGGGTTACAAGGCTGGTATGACTCACATTGTTAGAGAGGTCGAGAAGCCAGGATCAAGTAAGTTCCGTTCTGTCCATCTTTTTTATTTTTTTTTACTAATTTAGGTTAATGAATATACGAATGTTGTCAATCCTGTTTTTTAGTCGGATACCAAGTAGATTGTCAACTACAGGTCTGTTGTCGGTGTGATTTGTTGCCGTATTTTTGCATGTTGAGAGCATGTAAATAATGATACGGATAATGGAATTGAAATTAACCGTTTATAATTTTCGGTTTTACATTATCACTTCATTTTAGTTAAGTTTTCATCGGTTTAGAAAGTATTAAACTGGATGCTTTCAGTGTTTTATGGTTTTCAAATTTGTAATGCCAATATTATTTCATTGTTTCACTAGTACCTGTTTTCAACAGTATTGCCTTATTTAACCTTTTCATTTAGCTTTCTGTTTGATGTTGATATTATGGAACCTGTATTCATTTAACTGTATTTATGCTTTTATATCAGAGCTTCACAAGAAGGAAACTTGTGAGCCTGTGACAATTATTGAGACCCCTCCCATGGTTGTTGTTGGTGTTGTGGGTTATGTGAAAACTCCCCGTGGTCTTCGTACCTTGAACACTGTATGGGCTCAGCACTTGAGCGAGGAACTGAAGCGTAGGTTCTATAAGAACTGGTGCAAGTCCAAGAAGAAGGCTTTCACCAAGTACTCAAAGCAGTATGAAACTGACGAGGGGAAGAAGAACATTGAGACTCAGCTGGAGAAACTAAAGAAGTATGCTACTGTGATTCGTGTTTTGGCTCACACTCAGGTGCTCACATACTTTTGTTTTGACTTTATTTCATTTTTTCCGGTGGTGGTTTTGTTTTATACATGGAAGTTTGGGCTTGTCTTTAACCATTTACCCCACTTTTACGTCTGTTTTTCGTGCCTATTGAGAATGATGAAATTCATGTGCTAACGCAGCATCATAAATTTTGGTGCTATGAGCGGCATTTTCCACACGAGATTTCTGACTCCTAACTGTTTCAAATATTTCTTTTTGGGCTGTTTCAGTGTTATCTGCGCAACTATAGTCTTGTCATTGTCTGCTTTTGGCCATTATTTGTACTGATGTCGAATTGTAATACTGGTTTCTTTCTGAGTTGTGTTTGTAAAATTCCGAATTTAAGGTCACTTCCATTTATCAAGAGTTGTTTATTGAAATATTATTCTAATCTTAGCTTTCTGCCTTTGATCTTACAGATCAGGAAAATGAAAGGGCTGAAGCAGAAGAAAGCCCATATCATGGAAATTCAGGTGAATGGTGGTTCTATTGCACAGAAGGTGGACTTTGCGTACAGTTTCTTTGAGAAACAGGTCCCCATTGATGCTGTGTTCCAGAAAGATGAGATGATTGACATCATAGGAGTGACAAAGGGTAAGGGTTATGAGGGTGTTGTAACTCGTTGGGGTGTTACTCGTCTTCCCCGTAAGACTCACAGGGGTTTGAGGAAGGTAGCTTGTATTGGTGCCTGGCACCCTGCCAGAGTTTCATTCACTGTTGCCAGGGCTGGTCAGAATGGATACCACCACAGGACCGAGTTGAACAAAAAGGTTTACAAGCTCGGTAAAGCTGGAGATGAGTCTCACTCTGCTCTTACCGAGTTCGATAGGTGAGTTTAGTGTCTTTGGTTATGGTTACCTGCAATAAGTTATGCAGTAATTTTTGTTCAAGTCCAACTAACCCTGCATTATTTGGGATGCAGGACTGAGAAAGACATTACCCCCATGGGTGGGTTCCCTCACTATGGTATTGTGAAGGACGATTTCATCATGGTGAAAGGATGCTGTGTTGGCCCCAAGAAAAGAGTTCTTACTTTGCGCCAGTCCCTGCTTAAGCAGACTTCTCGTGTTGCCCTTGAGGAGATCAAACTCAAGTTTATCGATACCTCCTCAAAGTTTGGACACGGTCGCTTCCAGACCACACAGGAGAAGCAGAAGTTCTTTGGACGCCTCAAAGCATAAATATGATAATCGGATGGAAAAGCTGGAACTTACCTTTAAAATTCTATTTGTTTTCCATCGCTCCTTTTAAACTTTGTAGTGTTTCCTTTTTGGCATTATGGGTTGTAGTGTTTCCCTTCGTAATTTCACTTAACTTTTGTTCGAGGGAGATTTCTCTATTAAAAATACTTCAAATTTTGTTTATGATTTTATTTATATAATGTCCCAGTTTTAGTTAGTGGTTTTCATATTATTTTTTGCTGAAACTTAATTCATAAGTGACATGCTAGCCGTTTTCGATATTTTGGTACTGTGGACCGTTTGCTGTATGTTTTTAGTTAGATTTTGATGGACCGTATGTGCTTGAAGAATTATTTAGTTGATAATTTTATCCTGAACCTTAGTAGTAATGTGGAATAACCTCGAAGGAGTTGAATCATGCAATGTGGATTCTATGGTTTGAATTTCATTCCTATTTTAAGCTTGTTGTAAATAATTTAATTTGATTCCTGTAATGATCACATGGTCACTCATTGAGTAACTTATAAGTAACTAAAATAAGTTCATTGCAACATTTAGCACATTTCCCTAATTTTTGTTTCCATTTAAACTGGCAATGGCATTTGAAGAGCATGGTATCATAACCTTATGTATCACATAACACTCGATGGTTTATTAAACGGATATATTCTGAGATATCTCTCTCTTTGTTTGCGTAGATTAATATTTGTGTGTGATTGGATAAATGTTTTCAAATGGTTTTAAGTAAATCTTCATTTTATAAAATTGTTAATTATTAAATCTTTTATCATAAGAGCGTTTAAAATAAAGTAGTTTTAATATATGTCAACAAAAAATTACTTTTAGATGTCAATGATGTGCAAAATAATAATATTAAAGCAGTATGGTAATATTGCGTTATGCTTTTTTCTTTTTTTCACATTACATGTAAGTGGGATTTTTTAACTGGTAAGCTAAATAAGTTATTATACACTTATGAGTCACTCTCGAATTATATGAAATGAAAAAGAAATGAACAAATAGTAAAGAAGTTGGTTAGGCCAGATAAGCACGAAATGCCAACTCAAAAAGAGATGGATAAGTTTGGAGTAGTTGATTGAATGTTTGTAATGAGACCAAAAACCACTTTTGAGCAAATGCAAATCATCACACTTTCAATGCGAACTTAAAATCAATCTAAGGTTCTCTCTTGTATAAAGCCGCAACTGAGTTACATTACCCAACATAAGATAGGGTAACAGTAACAGATTCACGATTTCATACGTGCCACTCTTCTTTAACTCTCTCTCATCCTCTTCCTTTTTCTCTATTTGTCTCTCACCTCTTTCAGGCAATTTCTCTCTCTCCCTCTCTCTGCTTCTCTTTTTGGAACGAAGAAACCTGCGGTGTGTTTGCTTTGCCGATATGTCACAATTTCCTTCAACTTTAGGGTTCTGGGCTTGAATTTGGACATATCCTTTCCTTTTTTGGGATTTTCTTGACTGCCTTTTGTTCTGACTGTTCATAGATTTAGGTCTCCACTTGGATATGCGACTTTTTTCCAGTTTGATAGAGTGCGTGATTAAAATTTCATGTTTTATTTTTCTCCTTCTTTCGTGATTGGTGCTTCGTCTGTGAAGCACCATGATTCTTTGCATTATAATTTATTGGCATCGATCGTGATTTAGTCCAATTGGGTTTTGCGAAAAATCGGAATGGTGGAAGCCTTCAAGCTTTTTTGGGGGGTTATTGTACTTGTTCGTCAGTTTTAGAGTGAGGATTTTGGAGCATGCCAACTGCGAGCTTTTGCTCCAGTTCCTTGCCTTTTGTTTTTAGTTTGATTCAAACTAGAACTGTGTTTTTATGCTATTCATAAACTGAACAAGTGAAACGGAAAAAAAAAAAACAGTTGAAGTGGTTCATCAACATCGTCATCATTATATGTATTTTCTGGTATTTGCAGGTTAGTTTACAATGACCGAACCTTCCAAAGTCGTTCACGTTCGAAACGTTGGGCACGAAATATCTGAAGTACTTTTTCTTTCTCTCTCTTGTTGGATGTTTTCATGGCTGGTTTGTAGAGTGAAAATAGGGTAGCAATGAAATAGAGGAGAAATAGGGAGGAGGGAGAGGAAACACAGGAGATATAATAAGTTTTGGATTGTGTTTTGGTAGAGTGAAAATGGGGTAGAAGAAAAGTACAGAGCCATGGATACCTTTAATTTTAGTTCTTCACTATCTGCAGTGGAGTAGAAGTGAACAGTGAAAGGCTTTTATGAAAAAGGAACAGGGCACGGCTTTGGTTTCCATGGCAGTTGAAAACTGGTCGTCCTATTTTTCTCTTGGCTATTTATTCTCTATTCTGTCAAACTTATCTTCTAAAATCTATATTATTTGTCACATTTCCATTCACCTTATTTCTTTCCTCACCTAGCAAGCACACCTTTAGCTTTATTTTGATGTGATGAGAACAATACAATTACCAAAAAGGTGACTGAAATGAGAGTGGTAAGGTAACCAAGGGTGTTTGATTTCTATTTTCGGAAGTTCTTTTTTAATTTCCAATACGCAAAAGATCAAGAGATGGTGCGAGGCGCAAAGCAGAGTTCGGAATCAAGAGATGTTAAGCAAGAAGAAAATCGAGAATGAAAAAATATCTCGTAACTGTTTCATTCTACAGTTTCCAAAATTTAATTGGATTTGTATGAGAAATTGATAGGTAAGTAGTGAGAACTGTTCTAGAAAACAATAATAATAGTGAAAAAGGAAATCAAATCGGCTCACTCAGGATATCTAATTTTGAATCTTCTTATAATATGGTTCTACATTTTCCGTTTTAGATTTTTAGTTTTTGATTGCAACCCTTTTTGTGAGCTGTAATAAATACATGCATGCACACATGATATATCATAGAAGCTGCAAGACATCTTTGCTTGTCAAAGCGAGTTGAAGTCAACTTTTGATTCATTGTAGAACTTTAGTGTTTATTGTCTTATCATAGAATGATTATACTTCCTTTACATGTTAGAGTTTTTACTTTCTGGAATTAGTAATCCCTTTCTCCTTTGATTGCAGAATGATTTACTCCAGCTGTTTCAGCCTTTTGGTGTCATAACCAAGCTTGTTATGTTGCGTGCCAAAAATCAGGTTTTCTTTTTTCATTCCTTTAAATGAAACTGATAGTTCCTGCATAAACTTAAGGTTGTTTCAGTTCATTATTTTTTGTACAACCTGTGCCATATTTGTAGGCTCTTCTCCAAATGCAAGATGTTCCTTCTGCAGTTAATGCTTTACAATTTTATGCAAATATCCAGCCAAGTATAAGGTACAAATGGCTTGCTCTGTATTTTGGGGATGTACATGATTGCATTGACTGTAGTTTCATAATTAGATTTTTGGTTTTGTATTAGTACATTCTCTTTGATAATAAAACTGCCTTAGCGATAGATTTATCCTTTTGTTTTGTCCTAGGGGGAGGAATGTTTATGTTCAGTTTTCCTCACATCAAGAACTGACAACAATGGATCAAAGTCAAGGACGAGGAGATGAGGTTGGTGTTTTTTGTGTTGATATTTTTTATTTAAAAGAGTGTATGCTCTATCTTGTCTATTTCTTAAAAAAACATGTTGAAATTATTATTTTTATATTTTGTATGATATAGTTTCAGCCCCTCTCCCCAATGTCTTTGTATGTAAGATTGTCCCATTTCGCGGACCAGTGTTAAATTGTTATGTTCTGTATATTCCTCTTTCTCTTTATCATGTACTTCCTCTATTTATTCTCCTTTATCTCTATCTCTTCTCTTTCTCTATGCTGTCATGCTGTCGGGATCTCTGGATGCACAGCCAAACCGAATTCTCTTAGTTACAATTCATCACATGCTGTATCCTATAACAGTGGATGTGCTGTTTCAAGTATTTTCACCCCATGGATCTGTGGAAAAGATTGTAACATTTCAGAAGTCAGCTGGTCAGATTTTCAGATTTCTCCCTTTCTCTTCTTTCCTTCCCTGTCAACTTTTTTTATATCTGGACATTTACTAGCTAAATTGAGGTTATAGTAATAGTTTGTTTCGAAATGTGGAAATATATATTTATATTATATATATTGAATGTAAATAGAAAAATATTTTATGAAAATTTTCAATTGGAAAGTTCCCAATAGCGTCTTCTATTGATCCATGTAACTAACTGCCGTCATAGGATAAACGTTGTTGTTGCTTGTAAGTAAATGGGACAATAGTAGAACAGGGTTCTTTAAATTTAATGAATTTGTAAAGGCTTTGGTTTTTCAATGTGTTGTGGAATGCTCCTTAATTTTCAACGCATAATGTGACATAGAACGTAAGGGGGAAAGAGAAAAAAAACACAGAAAGATTGGAGGAGTTCTGGGAAGGAAAGGATATAGAGAGAGATGAGATAAATAGATGGATTAAATGAACGAACTATTCACTCCACCTGTATTATCATTCCAGTGTGTCAAAAATACAACAGCCATGCTTTATTTATAGGCAGCTATCCAATAGTTGTAATCCCAGCTAACAGTTGCCGACTAACTAAAGCTATCGTGATTTTTGTGCAAAATTTGTCTGAAAATTTTTTGATTAATAGAAATATTTTTTATGTTATACATATTAGATTTTCTATAAACAATTGATGTTTCTTGCAAAAGTCTTCACAAAAATTATAAATAACTTTTCTATTTTTTTTATTCAATAGCAGGTGAGGTTTTAATAGTTGTAAAAGGTAATCTGAGAAGTGTTATTAACGAAGTAGAAAAAATATTTTAGAATTAATTATGCTTTTCATCCTTGTAAAAGTGACAACATTTGGTTTTTATCTGACTTTTTATGATTCCACATTTTAGTCTGCATTATGTAAATACCCAAACTCTTTTATACAACTTTTGAGGATGAAAGTTTGGCATATTACGGTTGAAAGTTTGTGTATTTATAAAATGCAGGTGCGGAAAGTTAGAGTTTTGAAAGTTGCCAAACAAAAAATTGTCCATTCCATGGGGGAGGAAAACATCACTAACGTAATATTTGAATATCTTAAATGATAATTAGTTGAAAAATATATTTTTGAATACCATTACTTTTTTAAAATCACCTATCAGAGATGGTATTGTTACATTTAACTTATACATTATAATCTTAATTATTTTTATCCCTCCAACTCTTTTTAAGCTCAGCCATTGCTCAATGGTCTTGAAATGCAAACAAAATGGTAAGGGGAGTGTAGTTTCTGTTCATTCCCCAAAGTTTTGAAGAACTTCTTCCCAAAATTACACACAAAAACAAGATCTCTAGCACTATATCTCAAATAGTGCTCCATGTAACCTGTAGATCTGATACATGCAGTATTGAGGAAGTGTTGTTGTATATGAATGTTAAATGACAAAAGTTATGTATGCTTGCTTTTGTGATAAGTGATGTCCCAAATGGCAACCTTGGTATGGTGGTAAAAACAAAAATTATAGGCTATTAAGCTTCTTTTTTTAAAGTTAAGATTTCAACATTTTTTAAGAATTCTTGAGGGGCAAAAATTTCATTCTAGGCTATCCCAACTGCCGACTTACTTTGCTTCCCGAACACATTCTTACTCTGCTTCCCCTTATCTCGTGTACCTGCTACTGCGTTCCCATTGCCTGGAGCCAACTAATTCATGTTTTTGGTCAACATTCTCCCCTATACTGCTGTTGTAATGAGATTCGTTGCTCATATGCCAAGCTACGAGCTTCTCTCTTGGCTTGAATAAACACACTGAGATAGTGTAGCATATTCTTCCTGTAAACCGGACCAACCATATAAGCATCAAGATATTCTTTAGATGAAGGAAGTTTACTGGGAATTGCATCTAATTTATGATAAATTCTGCCAAGGTGTGATGCTGTCGCAAACGCATATGATTTTCTTGCAGGTGTTATATCCCTTTCAGGCAATAGCCTCTAAAGCTGATCTGAATTGTGCTCCCCCATGCCTAACAGTGTATCAACCTTTTCAAGCCTTTGTTAAATTTGAACGAAGCGTTCTTTCATTTTGTGTAGTTGTGTTTACATACCTATAGGTTCTGGTCTAGTGACAGGAAAACTAGGCTCTAGATATCACTAATGTAGGATACTGATTGAAAGAGAAAGAAACAGAAAAGAAAGAGGGCAAGAGGGAATAAGAGCAAAACACAGGATAGAAAGAGGGAGATGAGAGAACCAAAAGATCAAAGAACTGTGCCCTACACTTATATTCTCATCTTTCTTGTTTTCCTAAAATACAATAATAAAAAATCATCCATGAACATCTAGAGAGAGAAATATAGCTATGATAGGTGATATAATGTCATAGGAAAAAAGGTGGAGAGAAATAATAAGTGTTAATGAGATGTTTGCTATATAGAAATGGTTTTATCTGTGAAGCACAAACACCACGGACATTGCAACACATAAATTCCAAGATGTAGGACACGGTTATATATATATATATATATATATATATATATATATATTGAATATCATTATGAATTATTTGAATTGACAATCAAGATTTTTATATTGAAAATCATGTATAAAAAAGTTAGTTAAACATAACAATTTGAACATATTGTTACCTAATATAAAAATGAATCTAATCCATGTATCTGAAGTCCAAAAAGTGAAAAAGATATTTCATTCCTTTCTTGATCATCATTGAAAAAGACACTTTATGCAAGATTCATCTAAAGAGACCAATTAACTAACAACTTAAAAAAATTCCACATTATATGAAGATAGATAATGGATAAACTTGCTCTTAATATTTATATATTGTTACAGTACAACTGAACTTTATTTATTGGTAGCCACCTAATAGTTGTAAAAACCTAAACTGACAGGAGCTGACAAACCAACGTAACATAGTGAACATGCCATTGCCTTCTAATCAGATATAAGGATTGTTATTAGATTTTTTATAACTGTTACATTTCATTTATGCATGTATTGTTAGTGTATGTTCTACTGATTCTGTTTTCATGATTTTGCAAACTTTGTAGGCTTTCAAGCTCTCATCCAGTTTCAATCACGTCAGAGTGCTGTTAATGCGAGAAGTACACTTCAGGTTGCTTGTTTTACAGTTCCTTTCATCCTGTACTTGACTTATTAGTTCTAATATTGTTTCTGAATAACTATAGAACTTTTGGAAATTTCTAGGGACGCAATATTTATGATGGTTGCTGTCAGCTGGACATTCAATTCTCAAAGTAGGTTAAATTTATCCACCTAATTTTGTTTGTGTTTATAGATTTGTTTTTTTTTTACTTTGTTTTCTCTCCGCCTTTTTATTTACTTTGTTTTCTTACATGGACTTTTAATTAATTTTAATTGCAGCCTTGATGAATTACAAGTGAACTACAATAATGACCGTTCAAGGTGATTCAGTCAGTTTGTGTTTCTGTTTATATTGATTCCGTCAGTCCTTACGTTTCTGTTTTTATTCACTGAATAATCTCCTTTCTGACATCTTATTTATGACATTGTTGCTGACTTCATTTCATCTTTCGCAGAGACTTCACCAACCCAAATCTCCCAACGGAGCAGAAAGGAAGACCTTCGCAAGTATTTTCTGTTTGGTTCTTCATTTATATGTTTATGAATCATGTCTGTTGATCTTTATAAAGTCCATTCTAATATATATTTTTTAACTTTATCTTCTGTTAAGCAGCCTGGATATGGTGATGCGGGAAATATGTATGCTGCTCAAGGTTCTGGAGGCAGGGCAGGTGCTAAATATTTTAAGCTGCTTTGATTGGTTTGGTTTATTTATCATAATGTGTTATTTTTTAATGTACTGATGTTTGTTCTTTTTCTTCTCTCCTTCCAGTTGGATTTCCACAGGTGGGTAATTTTCAGATCAACTTGAAGTTCCAATTAGATACTATTCTTGCGCAGTTGATTATATGAAGTTATCATAATTCATTTTGTATCGTGTGAAAGTAACATTAGAAATATGTTACAGTTAATCCCAACTCTTACCAATCTTTGTAAAATATAAAGGTACGGAATACAAAGTTTGTACAATTATAGCCTACCAGTTTATAGGATTTTTTGTTTACTAACAACTTGGTTAGTGCTTTTTAGTTGATTTTGCTTTTCAAATTGGGTTTTAATTGGTATAGGGAGAAGTCAGTCAGTTGGGATTTTGCTTCTTGAACTCTGATATTTCTTTCGATTAAGATAAATTACATGATGATATGAAAACATTGTTTTTATCTTTAATTTCTAGTAAAACTGCTACAAACATCAGAAATTAAGATGCTCTCTTTCTTTTTGAAAAAGAAGCAATTTACTTATTTATTATTGTTTTTTCAATTATAGATGGCTAATGCTGCAGCCATTGCAGCTGCCTTCGGGGGAGGTTTGCCTCCTGGAATAACTGGGACAAACGAGAGGTGTACAGTGCTTGTATCAAATCTTAATTCTGATGTAAGAACTTTCTCTAGCTTCTATAAAGTTCTCTCCCTTTCTTGCTTACTTGTCTTAAAATCTGCTTATTTCAGAGAATTGATGAGGATAAGCTATTCAACTTGTTCTCTATTTATGGGAATATTGTGAGAATTAAACTTCTCCGAAATAAACCAGATCATGCACTTATCCAGATGGGTGATGGCTTTCAAGCTGAATTGGCTGTACACTTTCTGAAGGTGTGTTTAGTTCAGACCTTGCTGCTCAAATATTATGATACTAGATTTTTGTCACGCCTCTTACTCAAGGGATGGGTTATTGTTGTTCTTGGTGATATATCATCATATATATGATTTAAATATTTTTTTATCTACAATTTCAATGTTATTTGACAACTTGTTGCAAGTTTGATTAGTGAGTTTGTAGAGTTTTAAAAGAAAATGAAGAATGTTTGGTAAGAGCAAAGTCATATTTCTTTTTCTAAGGTTCGATTGTAGTCGTCAGTTTCTAATCCGTCTATATTTAAGTTCCCTCTTAAAATTTATCATACTTTGGTTGTTCTGTTGATATATTTACTTCCAAATATATCTTCCTTTATGAACTTTCTACCATGTCAACTGGCGTTGCCTACAACGGTCCATGAAATTGTTTTACCAAGAAGCTCTTAAAATTTATTTCCTTTATCGTGGTTTTATTTTCTTGATGCTGATGTATGTTGTATGGAGCTAGACTGAAATTAATGGATTTATTTTATGAGAGAAAACTTATCTGTTTATAGTAGATTTTTTTTTCTTTTCATTTTCACTATTAAACAATTTTGGTTTGCGCTCTATACTATTTCATTTGTATCTTTTGATGCATTGTTTTTGTTACATCATTGGTATTGTTCCATGTTTTTGAGATGGCAGCGTTAAATATACTGTTAATGAAAAACAGCAGTTGAATATTCTGACGAGTTAACATAGTTTAGTGTCATTAAATTTAAGTCACCAAAACTTTAATTTTGATTGTTGGTTTGTGTTGATTCTGTGAGAAAATTGAAGAACGGTGAACTATATTCATGATTTTCTGTAGTGATCTTGGTAGCAATTTTATGTTAAGATATTACACTGAATACTTTTTATATCGTCTATAATCCTGCAAATTATTATATATTCCTTCTTTTCTCGTTTTAAGCTGGTCAACATTTTCAACTTTGTGTTGTAGGGAGCCGTGTTGTTTGAGAAACAGTTAGAGGTCAACTTCTCCAAGCATCCACACATAACCCAAGGTGCTGACACACGTGAATACATCAGTTCAAATCTCAACCGTTTCAACCGTAACGCAGCCAAAAACTACCGTTATTGCTGCTCTCCTACAAAGATTATCCATTTGTCCACACTCCCACAAGACATCACTGAGGAGGAGATTGTGAACCTTGTAGAGGAGCATGGAACCGTTGTCAACAGCAAAGTCTTTGAGATGAGTGGGAAAAAACAGGCTCTGGTTCAGTTTGAGAATGAGGAACAGGCTACTGAAGCCCTTGTGTGCAAGAATGCCAGCACACTTTCTGGCTCAGTAATCCGTATCTCCTTTTCGCAGTTACAGAATATATGAGTCTTTGTTAAGAAGTTGTTGAGCACAACAGGGACAGGGATACTGAATTTGGGAAGGATGTTTTTTTATGTAGATCATAGTCATCTTCATTATCTTGTAATGCTCGCCTTGCTTTCCAACTGATTTTACTCATAATATCCGCTCTTCCATTTTTCATCTTTATTCATTTATCTTCTCATCTCCTTTGATGTGCTACTTATTTAGGTTGCTAACATAATGTAGTGGGGAGGTGCACATTTGTATGATTGAGAATAGGTTATTGGGGAAAAGGGAGAGGAGGATTCACTTCCTTATTTCCTTATAAATCATTGTTGTATATGGTTTGTAATGTAGTGGGGAGGTGCACATTTTTGTTGTATTCTCAATCCATGTCAAAAATTTCTAATCTAATTGAGCAAGAAATTAGTTTTTGTGTGTTTGTTTTTGAAGTATCTAACCATTGGTCTACTCTTCATGTTTGCAACTACATATTTCCCTCCACCACCTGTAGCATCTCTCTCTTCTTGCATGCATATGGATTGAGAATATACTCATTATTTTTCTTCCTCCTCCTTTCTCAAACCATTTCCTCCCCTTGACCAGCAAGCTGTTTTATCCTCAATGTGATAATGCAACATTGAAACCTAAGGTTGAGAAGAGGAACTTTATGTCATTGGTCATTTCTATTAGAAGTTCTTGCTTGCAACGCAGAAAAGCAGGTGAACGGGGCAAGTTGCAGCGTGAAGTCATTTCAACGAGTTAAATCGAGCCACGGAAACTCCAAGGTTGTTCATTGTTTAATTCATTGGTAGAATTGAAACACCTCACCATTGTACAACTTTCAAAAACTACACCCAGATCAAGGTACTTGTAGTTGTACCACACTGCAATGGCAAAAGGGAAAAAACCATTTCATGTTACAATAGATTTCATTGAAAGAAAAAGGAAAAAAATTGCCTGTTAAAATTTGTAGGTCTATGAAACACCAACTTTGTCAATGACTCAATTCATATTAATTAGTAAAGGATTGTACAATTGCTGATTAATAATCATTTTAATTGTGCTTATCCAACCATAGCCCAGAAATACTATTTGAGAAGAAAATAAATTGACACGAATATTTCAGAGAAATCGTCGAAGGCTAACTTAAGCCAAGTTTAAGCTCCAAAAGGGACCTTAGAGTTTTAAGGAAATAAAATTGATCATGATATTTCAGCCTGAGTTCATTTGTACTATTGTTATTTTCAATGCCTCAGTCAGTGGCTAATTTTAAAAAAGTTGTCTGGATTTTTCTCCATTGCATAACATCATATATTTAGGCATAGTTCTGCATCTGTTTTCTTGTGTCTATAAAAAAACATCACAACTGAATACATTTTTAAATCTAAATCAACCTTATAAACTGAAGCTTTCATTCATTTTATATACTGTGTAAATTCTCCAACAAAGACAAGTTTACTCATATATCAATTTGTATCTTTATGATGTAGTCTTTATATAAGGAAAACATCAATCATTAGAAGTTAGACACAAGAAAAAGGTTTGACCCTAAAAACTGGTTTATTTTGTGAGAGTCTTCAAACTTAAGCATTATATAAATAGTTCATGTTATTTAATGTGAGACTCTTGTCAGCATGTTGATAAACTATAATGATGTCGTTATCAAAGACAAAGTAGCACCCCTCACATGATAGTATCTCAAACCATTTTACTTTGTTTATGCTTTCTTTAATTGTGCTTTATGTACATGTCCGGTTCTATTTTGATTGCACGTAATGCTCACATTGTAAGATTGATAAATGCTCTATTTGTTGATTAAGTGAAGCTTGAAAATTTTATATTCCTCTAGTTGTTGTCACATTAATTTGGTTGCTTTTGGCATAAGCTAGATCACACAGCAGATCAAGCCTAATTTTTCTTTCATAATTCTTTGTGGGAACTATGCCAAACAAGTAATTTGTATGTTATTATTATTCTATGTAAGATGAGTTGTTTATTATATAATTTAGACCATCCTATGGCATGTTTTTTATTTGTTTTTACTTTTTTTATTGAGAGTATCATCTTTTTATTGTTTTGTACGTGTGTAAGGTCTTTTTTATATACAATGATATCATAGTTTATGAATGTGAAAATATTATTAATGTATTTGATCTAAATTTCGTCAATAAGATTTCATTTATAAAAGTCAAACTAGCAAATTTTTTATACCAAAAACTAAAATAAATTTATCGTAATTATGATATCAACAAGCATATTAAACGTAATTGGTGCCTTGTAGTTCCCAGCTATCTATCTTCCAATTTCCTTTTTCCTTTGGATTGGTTCTTTTTCTGTTTCCTTTTTTCTTCACTTTCGAAAATGTTGACTGAAGTAGTTGAAAATTTTGATCTTTGTTAGAAAGTTGTAGAATTGCTCATTCTGTCAGTGAGCACCGACTATAGGATATTGTGTGATGCATGTTGCTGCCACTTGGATTTTGTTAGTTGCCAAAGTCAAATCAAACATTGATACATAAGTTTTCTTCTTTCAGTTCCAGAGGTGGAATGTTCTTCAAGTCTCTTTCAGATTTTAAGTGTAAGTTTGATTTTAAATTAAGTAGAAATGAATGTCAAACACATTGATGTTTTTGAGTTTTTTTATATTAAACTCTTATGACTCATTGGTGCATAATTTTTTAATATTTTATTGGCGTAGAATCTTCTTGGTATTTTGTTGGAGAGGATTGAAATATCTGTATTTTCTTATTAGTTCGTATATAATAATACTAAGTATTTTAACACAAAAATGTTTATGAAGTATCCTGTCTGGTTACTAAATTTTTAAAGAAAATTTAACGAGTCACAGTTATTTCTAATCAATTTTTATCTATAATTTAGTGTTAACTTCATATGAAATATTCAAACTTAGTTTCATTAAAATTAACCATATATTAATCAACATCAATTCAGAAAGAAGAGTTATATCAACTATATATTAATTATTCAATCCAATAAACATATTAAAGGATATATTAATTTAGTTATGAAAATTCTGATCCTATAGATATATTAAAGACACATATTAATTTGGTAATATGAAAAGAAAAATCCTTTTTTATTCAGATACGATATCCATATCTATTTAGTGTGTATGCACACACTGTTTGATAAAATTTGTTTTAATTTGAAAATGTGTAAGTAACTCAGTTCTATAAGTATGGTACTTTAGATAAATGAAAGAAAAAGAAAGATAAATATATCTATATATCAAGCATAAGTTTGGATTTGTTAATTAATTATATTTTTTATCAGTTTATTTTGGGGAAGGTTTTAAAGTGGCTCAGAATATGTTATTTTCATATAAATCCATATTGAGTAATCAAGCTTCTGCATTTCAACAAGATGATTCATTCATGAAAAAAATAATAAAAGAAACAGAGTTTGCTGATTATATATGATTATCTGTCACAAGATGTCGTTCTCATGTTTGTTTGTCTTTTTATTCTACGAAGTCATTGTGATGATTTAGAATAACTGAATAAAAAATTTGTCACAAGTTTGATTAAACGTGAAGAAATTGAAAACCAGAAACTTGCAAGACTCCTCCTTATTGTTCGCCTTTTTTATATGAATTCATGATGCTGAAGTGTTCAATTTGAACTTTAAAGTTTTCAACTTACTTTATTTCATTGTTTAAAACTATTCTCATTGTTTTCGGTTGTGAGACATACAACCTCTTCTTAATTTCAGGGATATTTAATGTTTTCTTTTCAGTAAATTCACATATGCTTCACTATTTGAATCCATTTTTCTTTTGGTCAATTTTGCAAATACGTTGAAATGTTGAAATGATGAATTATATTAATACTATGAATAAGTAATGATCTATGAGAAAATTGTTTATTGAACATTCTACCAACAATTTGTTGGGTCTATTAAGGAGGAATTTACTGGAAAGACACAATACCAAATGAGATATGAACTTAACCACATCAGGGATTGACATCACTCTTTAGCCAAAACCGATATAGGGACCATTGTATTCGTCTGAACTGGTCACCAAGACAAACCATCGGCTCTGATACCACTGTTGGGTCTGTCAAAGAGGGGGTTCACCGGAGAGACACAATACCAAATAAGATATGAGCCTAACCACATAAGGGATCGACACCACTTTTTACTCAAAACCTTAAGACAATGGATTAATGGGTCTTTCACCTTTATAAGGTGCTCTACTTTCTCATTTCTATCCAATGTGAAACTTAGACTCACACTTGGATTCTCAACACAATTTTCACAGGAAAGCCACATACATCCGGGTGTCTCTATCTCTATATCCTTATTTTTATTATCATCTTTTATATTTCTTTATATATATTAATAAAAACATACGCGATGCTTAAATATATTTTTACTTTTTTATTATAATAAAAAATAATAAAATTATTATTATGGTTATTTTTATTCTAATTATAAATTAAATAAAAATATATTGTATAAATTTATTGTAATTAATTTTATATATTTTGTAAATAGTTTTATAATTAAGAAAATGGTAAACTTAAAAAAGATTGTCCAATAAAAAAGTCAAGATAAAATTTAGAGAAATGGTCTTTTAAGAAAATAACTATTGAAATTTAAAAAAACTTTTATTTAAAAGATAAAACTGTAAAATAAATATGAACACAAAAAATTCTATTTATAAGTATAAATTTTATATATATATATATATATATATATATATATATATATATATATATATATAATGTTCATTATGTTATTTTTGTTATTATATATAAATATAATAATTAAATGTACATTGTATTCAAAATAAAATATTTAAAAATGTGGAACACAACTATATTTTTCCTAAAATTTATATAAGGATAGCTTTGGTATTCACTCAATATTTTTATTGTTTTCTTATTTTCTATTCCAATCTACTCTCAATTAGTTTGTTTTAATATTTAGTTTTAATCGATTTGTTATGAGTGTTGGTTAAGATTAACTTGTTTTAATTTTTAGTTTAGATTGTTTTTTCTTAATTTTTAATTTAGAATCTCGGATTAACTATTTCAATTTTCGATATTTGATAGTTTTATTAATCTTTGAACTCATCGACTCATTTTGAGCTTCGGTTTTAAACCGTTCAATCCAGTCGAACTCAACATTCAGATTAAGATAACATGTGTCAAGCTTTGGTCTGAGCTGTTCTGTCTC